GAGTCTATTTCCTAAGTGACATGTAAATTTTTGTAAATGAACCCAAAGCATTGTGGTTTGATAATTATTATGTCCTATGTTTCCTAAAATAAAATTTTGAATATATATTGTATTACCTTAGAAATAAAAGTTTTCGACCGAAAACAGATGCATGCATCAACTGCTCTCTCATTATGAAATGAAATTTATATGTAAATAAAATCCTCCTACATATAATTCTCAAATGTGCTGAGCCTACGTGGCTGCCTCTGGTGCTTCGGAATCCTACTTGGCGAAGAATTATGCTTTGTAATTAGGTTTGGACAAATAATATTGACATTAATAATTAATAATCTAGGTTCGGACATTTTATAAATATTATTTAGCTAACTTAGGTATTTTAATATCACTTGTACTAATATAACTCTTTAATATCTTGTAATTTTACATGGTGAGGCACTAAGTGACTAATATATCCATGACTTTTTATTTGTTTAAAATTATTATAATATAACACAGGTAAGTCGCACAAATAAAAAATGTCATACTAAATATATAATAATATATATACATTTTTATAAAAGTTATTTAAATTTTTAACTATTTTTTCTCATTAATTTAAGATTTTAAGAAAAAAATTAGCAAGCACCCGTGTAATACACGGGCGTTGTACTAATTTTAAATATTTACTCAAAATAATGTTATTGTCCGTGATTTTTTTTTTACTAAACTAGAAAATGTTAGACTAATATATGCCATGTTTTAATAGTTCGATCAAGATATTTTACCAAAACCAAGCATAATGTTTCATAAATCATAACAAAATAACATTTTTTTTTAAGAAAATTCATCCCAAAAAAATGGGGAATTGAGGTCAGATCTCCAACCTATGAATAGGTCAAAGTCCCAAATGCGTTGAAAACATAATAAGTTTAATTATGGCATCTGGACAAAAAAGGGCAGAAATAATTTGAACTTTTCAAAACTTTCCAAGCGTAAAACTTTTCTCGGGCTCTACTGAAAAATCTTTACTTTTCAAACTTTCTAAAATGATATCCTTTCTTTTCTTTAAAAACTTAATTTAAGCCTCACACTTAGGTTCTTAGGGAAATCATTTCCCAACTTCTTTCTTGTTTCTAAAAAAATCGAGACATAAAATTTATAACTAATAAAGTCTCAATCCACGCAATCATAATATCAAATTCAGTTGTAAAAATGAACCAAAATAAATATCCAGTCTAGAAAGGTTTAAGTATGATGACCACTCTTGACCTTCGTGTTTGCCGCCAACTGCTTAACCTGAAAAACAATGGGGGTGAACAAATCCTCTATGCACAGTGGTAAAATAATACTATGCACCGATTCAGTATAAGCACAGATAATATAATAATCATATGAACATGAATCAACTGTTGCACTGATAAAAACCCAGCTTCAAGCCCCCTGGAAAATTCGGATTAGTGGCTCTTATTTCAAGCCTCCATAACATACACATCTATTGACTATTATACCGTTTACTCTAAGTTCTGTATTGATGGTCTTGTAACTGGTTACTGTATAGGACTACCCGTCATCAACTTGTCCATCAAGTATGTCAGACTTCAACTGGTCCAACTAATATATCTGGCATCAACCAGTTCAGCTAATATATTCGGCATCAATAGGTTCTCAATAGTGCCTTCGGCATCAACCGATCCCGCTAGTAGGAGAAACTGGTAACTTGTCTCATTAGGACCATGCTCGCATATCAAAACTACACTATCACATGCTTATAATAAATAAACCGTTGTATATAATTCCTACATGATGTTCAGAAATGAACGGTTGAAGGGATGATCAATGAGTTGCTTTGTTGGTTATATACTGAAAGTTTGGCTTTGGATGATATACACTTTATCTTCCGCTGAATGAGAATTATGTTCGATTAAATAATTTCTATGTTCTGTTATTTTGGACTTAGATAAGATGATTCATTATCGGGTGAACCGAAGATCATCTTATCAGTTACTTGCGATACAAGTGTTGTAGTTATTTTTACCGAAGTAGAATCTAAAGATTCAAACACCGAGACGTGTCTCTCGAGAAAGGTTAGCCGGACCATTTTATACGTGCATTCAATCACAAAAATGAAAATAATCCTACACAATCTAATTCGAGTTGTTGGTTTGATTTTTAACAAATGATTTTTAACTAAAGCAATTTAAAGATCTCACTTATAAAGATCATTCAAAGATATATAAACGAGCTAAAATGATGAAAATAATTCCAAGAGATATAAATGGGCTAGGGTATCAGGAAAAATCAATTCCGGTTCTACTTACTTTTAACGGTAATCAATTAACTCGGTTAAACTGTTCAAATAATTAACTCATTTATTGGTTTAACCTCACTAACTCTCGTAATATGCGGATAAACATAAATGAGCAAATTAATGAAACGATTAACACATAGACAATACGTCTCCGAACATGTCTACTCCAAACAAGCTAAGTTCTATCAATTTCGCCCCTCTCGGTTTTGAAATCGATTATATAGATTGAAATGGTGATCAAACATTTAATCATGAAATTAATAAAACTTGTAAAAATTGAGCAATTGCAATACACATAAACGATAACTAACCGGAATAATTGTCCCCTCACCCTAGCTAAAGGATTAGTTGCTCATAATAAACTTAACATGCACATTATCATAAAAATAAGTCATCCTTAATATAAGCAAATGAAAGAGATAACTTACTAGTAATGAGAAATCCACAAGTCAA